GATTGAAACGGTGGAAGAAAATCTTGAAGAAAATGAAATCTCTATGGGACTAAGCACGCCACCAARTACCGATACCGAKAGCACTTACTCCCAGTCCCAATATGACGATGATGAGGAACTCGACATTGATGAYCTTGAAGACCAAGAGGCTATTAGAAGAATTCAAGAGACCGGAACTCTTCAAGTCAATCCGACATGGGATACCGATGAAGATTGATAAATAAATGTATTTTATTGCATTTTGTAAAACAATGCCACTTTAATCATAATAAAATGTACTTTTAAAGTGTATTTGAGTAAACCGTATTTTTAAAGTGTATTCTTAAATGTATATAACAAAACGTATTTATAAAATTAAACGTATATATATATATATATATATAATATAACAAAACGTATTTATAATAAAACATATTTATAATAAAACATAATTATAATAAAACATATTAAAAATAACATATTTTAAAGATATTAATAACATATTATAAATTTATTAATTACCAAAAAATTAAAAAATATATTTTTTTTTCAAAGGACCGGCTGTAACCGGTTATGGGACCGGAACCGGGACCGGCGGGCTTAACCGGTTATGAGCAAGCTTGACCGGTTATAGAGTTTTTCCTTGGGACCGGGACCGGTTATAGAGGGACCGGTTAAGGATGGTTTTTGTCGTGATTAGGACCGGCCGTAACCGGTTAAGGCCCGGCCCGGGGCCGATTTTTGGCCATCTCTAGTCTCGGTCAATTAGCCACAACCTCGACTTTGGCAGGGTCGACTTTAATGCCGCCAGAGGAAACAATATGTCCAAGAAAAGAGACATGATCTAACCAAAACTGACATTCGGAGAGGTTAACATATAACCGCTTCTCTCGAAGAATACCCAAGGCAATACGACGATGCTCCGCATGATCAGCTTCAGAAACATTGATCGGCCTCGACCTCCGTCGGAAATCCATCATAGAAGTTATCGAAATAATTTTTTTTTTATTTTTTCAAAAATTTGGTGACTGATTTGTAGCGGAAGTCAATAGAAGTTGACTTTTTTGGGATTCGTCGGAATTTAGTCGGTGTTTTTTCGACAAGTGTTCTTTAGTCGGTGATACCAATTTTTTAGTAGTGTATTTTGGATATCACAATTAGTATTGTTTGTATATATCTTTCTTTAACGGTGTCGATGTTTTTAGGCATCACAATATATATATATATATATATATATATATATATATTGTGTTTAGTTGGTGTTCGATGGAATAAGGTTTACTGGAGATCGTAGATCAGAGGTCGAAGAGAGGAGAATTTTAAAATATCTAAAATGCCCTTTAATTAAATTTTTAAGTCAAATTACCAAAATTATTTATTTTCTAATTGATTATATGATTTGTAGTTGAGATTGTATTTCATGGTTGTCACAAACTATCTAATTCTTCCTTGAATGGCCCCAATATATATATATACTAACCAAGATTATCGTGTTAACTTTGTTAATCGATCTTGACCGTTAATTTGAATAATAAACGGTTATGATTTAATGATATTTAAAAATTAGTTATTAAATTAATATTTTCAATTAACATATGTGAACAAAATATCAAAGAGTATTTAGGTAAAAAGTAATCTATCTTTGATACACGAGTTGTCAGACATATGAACAACTTGTGTATATCTTCAAACCACATCAAACAAAAAAGATTAGACATATGAACAATATGTGAACCGTATGAACATATTTTGTATATTCAGGAGCCAATTCTGCAGTATGTACATGAATACCTATGAACCAAGGCATCTAGGGTTTGTGTGTTTTCATACGTGTTCACATGTTTTCACATGTTCTGTGTATGTGTGTGTATATAATCATATGAACATCTAGTGACTTAAATATACATGAACACTTATGAATCACAGCATCTAAAGCTATGTGATTTCTGATGTGTTCATATGTTAAAGGTGAGAACTGTCGATTAAAATAAATGTGAATTATAAAACATGAACACGTGTAAAACTCCAATGTCAATATTGCATCATGATCAATTGTGATATTTTCATATTTGTAACTCCCAATTAATTATTTGAGAGTTACATAAAATGACAATTTACTTAAATACCCTTGTATTTAATATATGAGTTACATTTGAACCAAATGAAAAGATGAAATATGATTGGTTGAGCTTGGTTAACATAGTTAACACAAAAACATTGGTTAGTATTTGAACCAAACACACACACACACACACACTCTCTCTCTCTCTCTCTCTCTCTCTCTATATATATATATATATATATATATATTGCCCATGAATACATTTTGTGTGGTGGGCCACTGTTGATATTGATTTGTCTTATGACTCTTTTTGGGGTGTGCATGTTTTTGAATGTCGAATGTTGTGGCTAGTATACTGTGAGGGATGTAGTGCTTACGGGTCTATTTTATGACTAACATATTTAAATGTATGGTCTAACCTTCATTATACTTTCAAAAATATGCATTTCAGTACTGTTACGTATTAGTGCTAAAAGAAAAGGAAAGTTGTGATCTTACCTGTTTGAATGTTATAAGACGCTGATTGTTGACTTATGGAAGTTTACTTTTGGAGCTTTTGGGATCTTTTGTACTAAGATTTTATCAGCAAAAAGTTTGTACGTTTATTTCAGACGATCTTATACTTTGGTAAGAAGTGACCAAATATGTAAACCTTATGTGGTTTGATATGTATATTATGTGTTATATGTTATATGTGGATTTACAGATTATTACATTATACCAATGTTTGCAACAAAATTATGCAAAATTTGATGTTTTACGTTAAAAATACCCTTAATTCATTCAAAAAAACCAACATCATCCATGATCCATCATGAGGCTTAATTCATATCCTTAAACAATTTTTTTCTATTCCTTAATGTTAACGAGCTAAAGTTTTTTAGATATACTGTCGATTGAAATAATTTATTTTTTTTCCATTTTGTGATAGTAATTGATTTTACAAGTCAGAATTCGATTTGTTGTATATATTTAAATAAAAAGTTGATTATCGATAACTTCAACTGACCTCATCGATAACATACATGTATTAACATAAGATATTTTTTTATTAACCTGGATATCTAACCCGTTATGCGAGCCAACTAACTCCAGGACGACCACCTGCTTTGCAGATAGCCCAAAGTCATCGCATTTGAACCTCTGTGGCCACAAGGGGATTTTTATTCCTCATTCGATTTGAACCTGAGACCTCCTGGTATTTTTGATCTTTAGAGTCAAGTTCAAGCCAATCAAACACTACCCTTATGGTTTAACATAAGATGTTTATATTTCAAAAAAAGACAAAACTTGATCCGAGTACTATCCCTCTTAGCTATGTTCCATGTAAATTTGAGATGGAAACATCAAATAACTCGTCACAAATATAACATTTTCTATAAATCAAATTTACTTGCGTACAAGAAATATTAATATAACAATAAAAAAGTAACATAATACAATAAAGGGAAATAAATTGACAGATATATGTGTGTGTATATATATATATATATATATATTTAATTATGCAACACAATATGATAATATATAGGATCAAAATAGCAAAGGGGAATAATTCCTTTTCGGACAAAACGAATATTATTTAAAATTCAGCAAAAGTTTAAACTTATTTTTTGTTTTCTTGCTTAAAAACACTAATCTCTTTTAGGATATTTCGCGATATATATATATATATGTCTAATTAAATAAAAACTAATTAGTTTTGGTAATTTGAGGTCCAATCTCAACTACAAATTAATAGATCAATTAGAAATTTAGAATTTTGGTAATTTTGAATTAAAATTTTAATGCAGAACATTTCAAGTATTTTTTCTTCTCCCTCCTCTCTCCGTCCCCTGGCATTCGTCCACTGTCCTCAGATGATACCATAGTGGTATCACAATGCATCTTATATATGCTCGGGTATCACACTGATGTCGTATGTGTGGTCAATCAGAGATGTAACATAGTAGTATCACAATGCATCTTATATATGATTGGGTATCATACCGTGTCTTTTATTAACAGAGTCAATATTTTTAGGTATCACAGTGGCATCATCAGAGGACGGTGGCCGGAGGACGAAGGACGGGGGACGGAGAGAGGAGAGAAAATACCTAAAATGTTCTTGCATTAAAATTTCAATTCAAAATTATCAAAATTATAAATTTCTTAATTTATGTATTGATTTGTGGTTGAGATTGTATCTCACGATTATCATAAACTAGTCAATTTTTCCTTGAATATGTTCCTCTATATATATATATATATATATTTTTTTTTTCACTTTGGCCAAAACAAGAAAATTAAACTTGTTAATTATAAAAAAGTAATATGATATTGCAGCTATCATCATCAATGACGATACATTAAATTTAATTAATAAACAAAGAGAAAACTTTGGTGTCTAGAGTCAATTGTGTTGTGTGTGAATAGCACATACAAAACCCATATACACCATTTGCATCAATTACCCCTGCATGTGTCAATATATAATTATTCATAAAATCGAGTGTAAACTATATTTCTCTCTCTGAAAATTACTATTTTTCATTTTAATTTTTCTCTTCATTCATTATCTTTTTCCTCCATATAGTTTACAGTTTATATTTATTTCTGTTTGTAATATGTAATTGTTTTTAATTATTTTAAAAACAAAAACAACAATGAATTGTAAATCACAGAGACGAACAAAAGTAAAAATCATAATTTTAAATAAGACATCCAAATTTATGTCAGAATTAGATCAAATCATATATTAAAAATATAAAAAAGTAAGTTTTAATATTAATAAGTATGATAATAAAATTGAATAGGTAGAAACATTTTGAGTGTATTCTAAAACTTAAAAGTTAATTAAAAATGATATTGAGCTGGCGCAAAAAATGAGCACTTCAGTTTCTCCTATAAAACCCTCCACCAACACCCTCATTCTCTTATCATTTATCAACTTGTTTATTATAACTCCGGCCGCCCAAGAATGGAGGAAATCGATTCAAATGAACAAGAAATGATCCATAATCTGGCCGCCGTCAATGCTCTTTACAAGGCATTGGCTGCCGGAGACACAAAAATCGTTGCCGGACTTTTAGCCACGGACCTGGAGTGGTGGTTCCACGGCCCTCAACATTGTCACCACATGATGAGGATGCTCACCGGCGAGGCTCCACACACCGAGTTCAAGTTCGAACCTCGAAGTGTTGCAACCATCGACGATCAGATAGTGATCGTCGAAGGCTACGAAGGAGCAAACGTGTATTGGGTTCACGTTTGGGCCTTGAAAGATGGGTTGATCACAAGGTTCAGGGAGTATTTCAATACGTGGCTTACGGTGAAGGAGTTGAGGGTGAGACCCGTCGGTCGGCCCCTTGGTTTGGTGGAGAAGAAGAATCGCTCCACCGTGTGGCGGAGCCAACCTCGAGATCTTTTCCGGCGGTCGTTACCAGGGCTAATGCTTGCCATTTGATCGATGATGGTAGCTAGCAATTGTGTTGATCGTATCGAGATATTTGTGCATCATACAATCGAGCAATAAAATTTACCTAAATGACATTCCGAAAAATCAAACTGTCTATTGTATTAAATTTCATCTGTTAACAAGATATCAGATTTAACCTTGAGGATTAGCTCAACCCGTAAAACCTTGAGTTTGCTTTTTAGTATGGATTCAAGTCCTTTCGGAGCAACTCCAACCCGAGGGTTTATTTGGCTTGTAACCTTATGGCCTCGTTGGCCTACCGCTATATGTATTACTCGTAGAACCCGACTTCCATGATGGTTAAGAATTCAAGTCTCAGCAAAGATGAAAATGTGTATTAGTTTTAACCTACGTAAATACTATATACTTCGACGAAAATCTATGAATTGTTTGGATAAATATATAATAGATGTATTTAATTATAAGATCCAATGAATAATCAACAATAATATTCACTAATTTGATTAATTGGGTTGGATTTAATCGGTTGTTCAAATTTAAATTGATTAGATCGGTGATGATTGGATTGGAGCAGTTTCTCATAAATCAATTAGATTTCAACTTAGCATCGTGAAATTCATAAATATATACATACATATGTTTAATCCTACATAATAACCGTCTTATGACACATCGTTTTGTAACTCTTCCGTTTTGTAAATTCGTACCCTTCATGATTATATATATATATATATATATATATATATATATCTAATACTAATATATAAGTAACTTTGGGGAGACGTGTCACGTTTCTGTGCGACGGTTGTTGATTTTTCCCGCTTAAAACACAATTTTCACTTACGACTCCCAGACTTACAACATAACTCTGAAAAAATTCACGTTTGAATTTAACTCTGGAATGGTCATCAAAACCGAGTTTAAAATTTCAAATTCGCATTTTTAAACATTTTTCGAAAACCAATATTACCCGGGACCCCTTCTGTTAGGGGCTTCGTCCCTAAATTAAAATAAACTCAAATAAGTGTGCACTCCGCACCTGCCTTAACTGTTTAATATTTATCATGATTAAAGTGGTCATCAATTTAATCCCATTATATTTAAATGACATTAGTGATACAAATCATCAACATGAAGTCATCAGATATTGGTTATTTCTCAGACTTACAACATAACTCTGAATTGTTCTGTTTCAAACTTAGTTATATAGTTTATTTCCAGACTTAGAATACAACTCTAAACTCCTCTTCAGAGTTATGTTTCTAAATTATAAGAAATCAAAAAAATTTGTGACTCAGAGTTATGCTCGCAGATATTTTCTAGACTTAGAAGACAACTCTGAATTCCTCTTATTCAGAGTTAACTCCAGAGTTATTTTCCAGTCTAACAATAGAATTCCGAATTCTTGTGTCATTAACCCGTGTAATACACGGGTCCAAACCTAGTATATATATATATATATATATATATATATATATATATATATATATATATATATATATATATATATATATATATATATATATATATATAGGTGGAGGTTCAAACGAAAACCCCTGTGATTTACGAGAACACGAGAACAACCCAATAACCTCAAACTTTTTTAATTAATAAATTAACTTATATTAAATATAAATAAATTAATAAGGACAGTACTATAATTAAGTAATTTTTATAATTTTTATTTTGTTTTAATTAACTATAATTATCCCTTTTTTCCTTGGACGTTCATTTTCACTCTCTTTTTTCCCTTGTGATAAATGTGTGATTGTGTAACCATAACCTATCGAAACTATGATCAATCGAGTGTAACCATAACCTATTGAAACTATGAGTAATCCTTGTGATAAATGTGTGATTGTCTAACCCTAACCGATTGAAACCATGATCAAATTGAGTGCGCAAGTGATGTTATAATAGTGATATCACATGATTATCACACACATCACACCAAATCGTTACCCATATCACACCAAATTAAACGCCCGCAATCGTTGTGTTAAATGTGTGATTGTCTAATCCTAACCTATCGAAACCATGA